ACTCCCTACCCTCCCCACCCCAACCTACATCCCCAACAACCCCCTCATTCTGGACTTCCCCAGTATACTCCCCTACCTCAACACTCCCAGTATTTGATGTCTGGAAAATGAATAGTAACTTTTTTTCAAAAGATAGGGCATCTCAGCCTGAACTGTGCAAGCCCACAGTGGCCACAGGCAAGGTGTCTCTGGAGTCAGACCTGGAAGGAACACTTCCTGTGACCAAGCCCAGTGGGTATAGTTGGCTGCCCCCTGGCAAGCACAGTCATGGCAAAGGTCATGATCTATGCTCCCCCTTGCTGACTGTGTGAGGATCTGGCTGAGAGCAAAGGCTGTACTTGCTGTTGCACATGGCTCTCCCCATGAGACACCAAGCCCACCCACCCTGCCCTGACCTCCAAAACTTGTCCCATCAGGGTCATTACCTCCTCCCAGCAGTGTTTCTACCCTCTGTGTAACCTTGGCAGGTACTTTAACTTCTCAGGGCTTCTACCTCCTTATCTATAAAATGGGGGCTTGCAATCCTGTCTTTCTGCTCCCAGCCCTGCGTTTGTGAGATCAGCCCAGAGCAGCACAGTGACCCACACCCATGTTCTGATGCCTCCCCCTGCTGGCCTGGCAGCAGCATGTGCGCTGGCCCTCAGAGACGAGCAGGATGGGGCCTTGAGGGCCTCACAGGCTCCTATCAGACCAGGATACACTGGACAAAGTCTCCCAGGACCAGCTGGGAAAACACAAGGGACTTTAGGTAAGGGTACTTCCAGGTGGGCTTGAGTACCTAACTGGGGAGAGTTCTTTCTGTCCAGGTTTTAAAGCTTCCTAAAGAACTTTCATCTTTGGCTATGGCTAACCAATGCGGAGAAAAGCAGGCAGAATTTAGAGCTGGTGGATTGGCTTTTGTAATAGGGTGGACAAAAGAATAAATAGGATCAGCCTCTTCTTTTCTTTCACTTTTTATTGAATTATATATACAGGAAATCGCATATTAAAAGAGCATATACAACTTGATAAATTTTTACAAACTGAACATACCCATGTAACCAGCCCCTATGTCATGAAGCAGAATATGACCCCCACCCCAAAAACCCCTACATCCCTGGGATGACCACCCAAATAACTTCTCACAGAATAGGTGGGTTCTTCCTGTTCTTAAACTTCGTCTGTGAATTCTTCACCAGGGCTCTGTTGTGTTTGCGTGTCTGGCCCCACTGCATGTGGGGCCTCACCTCATCACTGGGTATCCTCACATCATTGCTCACATCACTGTGCTGAGTCTGCTGCATGAATTCATCATAATTTATTTATCTCTCCCACTGTTGTTAGGTACTTGGTGTTTTCAGTTTTAGGCTATTATGAAGAATGCCGCTATGAACATCTAGCACATATTTTTAGGTAAACATATATATTCATGTTTATCGGGTATATATTAAGTTGAATATGTGAAATTGCCACCTTCATTGGTAAGAAATGGTCGAGTATTAGCAATTTCATGTGGTTCAACCTCATACCTAGGAGTGAAATTGCTGGGTGATGGGAAATGCCCGAGCTCTCGTCTGGTGCTTGCACCAGCCGTCTCACCAGCGTTCTCTCCCACCAGCATGAGAATTTAGCTGCTTCACATCCTTACCAATCATGATATCTTCTTCATTACAGTCTATCTGTTGAGTATGTAGAAGTATTGCATCCTGTCAACCTTTTTTAACCCCTTTGAGAAAGAAGATGATTTTATTTACAAGTTGAATATACTTTAAAAAACTGCACAAGTCCCCCAGGGAGTCTGATAATCCTCCCTGGGAGAGAGTGCTGCTCCCACTGTGAGACAAGAATTGGTGGGGGAGGGGGATCATGCTAACTATATTTGAAAATTAAAAAAATTTTTTTTAATTAAAAAAAGAAAAGAATGGGGAGTGGCTCTAGAGTGTAGTGGGTAGCATGTCTGCTTTACACACAGAAGGTCCTGGGTTCGCGCCCCACGTGGAGCCAGGGACCATACCCCGGGTGCACCAGGCCCCAGGCGCGCCAAGCCCCCTGAGCGCACCGGGGGCGCCAGGCCCCGGGTACACACTGCGAGTGTGTGGGAGGAGACACCCCGCCTTCAGAGATCCAGTTCTTAAGGGGAAACGGCAACATCCATTGATTAGGGGTGGAAGTTGGGGTGGGGGGGGTTAGACTAAAGAGGGGGAAAAAATGTAAGAAAAGAATGGGGGTGAGAGTGACAGACCACTGGCTTCCTTGCTAGCCTGGGAATGGCAGCAGGCCATCATATAATTCCAGCTAGACTGAAGAAAGGTTCAGCTAAATATATGGGTGCCAGAGCTCTTGACAGATTCTCTTCATCATCCTTATTATCAGGACATTTCTTGGTTCTCTTTTGAGCCCAGCTTTTAAGAAGTGGAGCTGGGTCAGTACTAGCTCTGCCCTCAGGGAGTATGATTCTGGAAGCCTTTACCCGACCCAGGTGTGAGGGCTCAGTGGGCCTACCCCGCTGTGGGTGTTTGACCTTTTGAGATGGAGCCTGTCTCTTTGGTAGCATGGGAGGAAAGATGTTGAGAGCAGAGCAACCTTATGAGCAACCTGCCAACTCTCTCACTCCTGGCCTTCTAACTTCCCACAACTTTTAGCTTTTACCCTACTTATGATCCCATGGTTGCATTACTTTCTGTTTCCTCATGCTAAGTCCTGTTTATTGAGAAGACAAGAAGGATACTCCCACTCTATGCCATCCCTCAGCCTTCCATTGAAATTATTTTCAGAAACAGAAGTGATATCATCCTGATAAAGTAACCTCATTGTGACCATGCCTCTACTGCTTCTCTTCCCCATTTGCGCTCCCCCACCACCTCTGCCCCAGCAATAGAGTCTAAAAATACTCTTTCCACTGAAAGTTTTTCTTTCTATTGAAGAAAGTAAGCTGATGGGGGTGTGGGTGTGGTGGGGTGGGGGGCGGTAGGAGAAACTGGAGGTATTGTGTTCTCAGAAGGTGTCAGAGACCTGGTGGCTGACCTTGATCAGATTCTGTGTGGACCGGCAGCTATCTGGGGACTCTGTCGCTGGAACACAAAGTCTGGTCCAGGGCCATAAGCAGAACATGACAGAAACTTTACTTTATCCAAAGAACAGAACCATAGTTTAAATCGGTAATTATTTATTGATCTGAAATTTGATGATTTAAAACTGTCAAAACTTGAGCGGTACAGAAATGAATAGGATATGTTCATGTTTGTATAACGTTTTAGTCTGAGGTTTGGTATATAATCTAAAAGGAACCAAGAGGATAAAAGCATGACTTTCTCTCTTTTTTTCTCTTCGTTAGCCCTTCTTCTGGGTCTTTCAATCTCATGACACTGTAGGCACAGGCAGGAAAAGGGAGAATTACGTAAAGAGCAGTGAGGTGGCCACCCAGTTATTAACCAGCCAGTGCCTGTGACAGGGACCCCTCAGAGGGTGCCAGCACTGACCCGTCCCTCTGCTTTCTGATAGGGCAGCTTGCCAGCACAATCCCTGCGGCTCCCAGGCTTCAGATTGGGGACTCGGAGTGAACCAGACCTCCTAAGGTTTTCCATCACTCCCCTAGAGCAGAGTCTCCATTCTCAGCTGGGTTGGTTGTGGGGCTCCTGCTTTATCACTGTCACCTCCGTTTGTTGACAGCCTAAGTGGCCATCTTCCTCTGTTTTCTGAAGTATGACAATAAGGCTGCTTAGTAACTGTGAGGACTAAATTCAGTCTAACTTGACAAATGTTGACTGACTGCCTTATCTGTGCAAGGGTGAAACTCGATGTGTGCCTTCAAAGGTATGACCTGGTGGAGACAGGAGCACATGTATTTGGGCATTGTCCTAGGAAGATGCTAAAGTCCCACAGCATCTCTAAATTTCTTCTACTTCTGTGTTTCTGCATATAGGACTGTTCCTTTAAAGGTTCCTCCGCATTCCCCTGTTGGCGTCAGAATCTTGTTCAGTAGAGAATATTGCCATGAACATATGTTCTGTTAGCAGCCACCTCACCTAAACTGCACAGGGGTTCTATACAGGGGTTTGAAATAGCAGCTGGTGGGAAGGGTGTGGATTAGTCAAAACTGCTTGGTTGCAAATAACAGATGCCAACTCCAGCTTGCCTAGGCAAAGAGGAGAGTATGTCATAACAAGGCAGGGCTTCCCACAACCCTGGAGTTTGACAGGGCCTGGAGAAGGAACAGAAGGGATCAGGAAATCCTCTAACTCCTCTCCTGTATGTCTGCCCCTCTCAGTACACCAACTGCACCTTTCCAAGTGCACAGGTCCTGAGCTGGCACATGGCTGCCTCCCGGGGTCCGCATCTATAGAGGACAGTTTTACCTACCCAGAAAGCAGCCCAGAAATCCCCAGGACCAGACCAAGCTCCTGTGAGGAGGAGAAGCTGATTGGCCCAACTTGGGATGTGTTTCTCCTCCTCTCCTGGTACCATAGAAGAGGGCGTATTGACTCGCTGCTTGGACACATAGCACAAGAATTATACACTGACTGGAGAGAAGAGCAATGGTTCTTTAATCTTCATTCTTCTTATCTCATATTTAGCTGGGATGGAGACCAAAATAAATTGAAAGGGGTCCCCTAAGCTGTTGGTCCTCCCATAGACATAGAGGCCTAAAGCAACACCAGGAAAAACTATCATGCTTTTTTCTCCCCGGCCTCCCATAGTAGGCTGTGAAACTAGTCTTAGACGCTAAAGTTTAGGCACTAAATTCAAATGTTAACACATTTTGAAGCTGGAGTTACAGGACTCAACTGGAATTGGAATTAGGTGGCTGCAGCCAAAGCAGTTGATGGAGGACTGGGCTTCTGGAGCATTCCCCAGGGACAGGCCTCCTGCAATGCTGCTCTACAGCTGGTGTTCCAGACAGGCCTCAGCAGGCATCTTCAGGCCTACTCAGAATCCAAAAGGAAGTGTTGGCCAAGAGGGGCTGTCCTGTTGCAGGATGTTAAATCCCTGAGTCTGCAAATTAAATAAGTAGATCAAGGAGATACATCAGTCATAATTAACAAGGCTTTTGGGAAATTGACCTTTTAACTTCAAATGGGTCTGCTGGTTAGAGATAGAGTTTCTGTGGCTGTCTCGGGATTGGTTGGAACAGATTGCTGGAGCCAGGGAGGCAGTTAAATGCTCAAGACAATAGAATTGGCAGCAGAACTGTGCGCGCCAGAGGCTCTGCCTTCTCCTCTGGGTACGTATGGTGACAGGACAGCTCTGAAGAGCTGGGCCCCATTAGGGAAGCCCTTTGGGTTTATTTCTCTTTTTAAAAATATATTTTGTAACTTCCAAAGAACAGAATATTTTTAAAAATTTGTTTGAAGAGTTTCATGAATCAGTGATGAGTTGCAATCTATTCAATATTTGTCTTACCTCTCTGTTGTGATTTCATCTAAGGGAATACAGTGGTCATGCTTTCCAGTGGAATTTCAATGTGGGCACCTGTGTGCTGACATTGTGGGCAGCACAGGGCACTCCCACCCCTGAGCCTCAGTCATCTCACCTGTCAGAGCGGGGGCTGGACTAGGCAGTCTCAGCTTTAGTGTTCTCATCTACTAAGGAAACCTAGAGTTAGCCTTTATTTCCAGTCATACATCAATTTCTCCTTTCCTTTCTGCTCAATTTGCCTGTGATTTCTGCTTCCACTGATGAGAGCTCTGCGGAGCAGAGTACAGAGGTGAACATGCTTGTAGACCAAGGTCCAGTGGTAGCCTCAAGGCACAGCAAGGAGGTGTCCCCTTCATGCCTCTCAGCTAAACATCACCAGGAATTTATTTTCTTGATATTAAGGAAATGCCTGCATTTTAGAATGCACCACAGAGCTTCTCCAAGAAAATACTACATGCTGAATTAAGTTTTGTGTTTTTATTCACACTCAACAGCACCATTAAAAACCAAGCTTTTGCCCGCCGCATCATAGCAGTGCTGGCAGGAGAGAAACAGAATAGGTTTGGCCAGGGTGATTGGCGTTCTAGTGTAGGAGAGCACTGGCCTCTGAAAGAGGACCTGGGCTGCTTTGGGTTTTCAAGCACTGTGAGAGCCCTTGGTGAGAAAGGCTTCCTAATAGACCTCTTTTATCCTCCCAGGCCTGGGCTGATGCCTTTCGAAGCAGTCCTGACCTCACAGGTGTTGTGCATATATATGAGGAGCTGAAGAGGAAAGGGGTCGAGTTTCCCATGGCGGATTTGGACGCTCTGTCTCCCATACACACACCACAGCGGGTAAGCTTCCAGCTGGCATTTTCTAGGAAGACCTATTGCAGAACAGGCAAGCCACTGCCACCACCCTTCTGCCGCTTCATTTGAATTATTCAGCTTGTCATCATGCTTTCATAAAGCTTGAGGGCATTTCTTTTTCATAACAAGGGGATTGCAGGAGTGAGACAGCTGGTTGACTGGTGATTAAGTGGCAGCAGTGTCTCCCCCCAGTTTCCACACTAACGGTGGAAGAATATAATAGAGGGATCAGTTCAGACGTTTTTCATGGAAATGGTTGCTTGGGCGGAGCCATCCTGTGAGGATCGTTAGCACCTGCTTTTCAGAGGCTCCAGAAATCTAGTGTGGGGATGCCAGCATCCCCCTTTGAGATATCAGAGCACCTCAATGGTGGCAATGCAGAGCTGCTGACTACGTCACTGAGCATGGGCAAAGAGCAGTTTTTGTTTCTTTCAAATGTACAAGTTACTCAGATGGATCTAAATAGATCCAGAGCCATTATCAAATGGATCTGAAATTTATTTTGAGCTATGAATCTTCAGCATCAGCCCCAGACATCACTGAATTCCATCAGCCTTAGGATTCAAAGCCCATGGAAAACCCATTTAGAGGCCTCCCGCTGAAGCTCCTACAACATGGGGCAGCTCTGTGCTTCAGGATTAAAAGCATGCAGGAGAAACCATTCATCCAATTTCAGATAAGCTAGTACGTACCACTACTGGCTGGGAATCAGCCCTGGCCAGGGGAAGAGCCAGGAAGCTCCAGGGTCTGGGAGAGGCACCTTGTCTCAGAACAATCTTTCTTATTGGCCCCTGTTTGCCCATCTTTGAAACAGGAGTAAGAAGGACAGCATGTCTGTGTAGGTCTCTCATGTGAACACAATGTTCAGGATGTTATTGGAGATGCCCAAAGGGCAAACACAAGGAATTGTAGTTTTTCAAAGCAGTATTTTCATTATGATCCCTCCAAACCACTTACTATGCTTTGTGGAATAAACACATAACCTGTTTTATTCTTCTAATAATGACACAGAACAGTGTTGTTGTTTCTATAATTACAAAGGACGTTCAGTAAATTGCATAATTACTATTTATAGTAGTCCACTTGTAAGGGCCAAAATGTAATTTTCTGGTACCAAATAAGGATTCATGAGTAGCAAAACTTAATAGCAGTCCCCCTCTACTGGGATCTCTAGGTGGTCCTAATGAAACCATGACCAGAGCTCTCACCGAGTGCTCTCGCTGTTGCCTTTCGGAGTTGCTTTGCTTGACTGTGAGGTATGTAGAGGGAGGAGCCACTGGTAACCCCCTTCTCAGATGGAGAGACTGGGGGCAGAGGGCTTCCTTGAGCATAACAGGTCAGCAGTAAAGCTGGGCCCCCACCTCTTTGTAGGCAGCTGTGGTGGGAAGTGCTCCCGTGGGTGGGGTAGATGCCAGACCCAGTTGCACAGGCAGCCCAAGTGAATGGAGGACTTTGCTATTGCCGTGCCAGAGTGTCCCTGAAGTGGATCCAGCCACGACCATGCCCAGGTCCCAATCGCAGCAGAGGACGAGCACCAGCTCCTATTCTTCGCCTCCTCCTGCTCCCTACTCCGCTCCACAGGCCCCGGCTCTGAGTGTGACTGGCGCCATCACAGCCAATTCAGAACAGGTACTTGCATATTTCTAGGCCATAGGCTGCCAGCCAGCTGTCCTCATTCACTCTTCCAAGAGACACGTACAGAGGCCTTCCCAGACCAGGTACTGTGCTAAGTGCCAGTGACACACAGATGGAAGGATTCAGCCTCCTCTCCTGAGGCCTCATAGTTGTGTGGGGGAGACAGGTGTAAAGACAGTCAGAACAGTGTCGCCACACTGTGGTAGGATTGGTACCTGAGTGCTCTGAGCCCAGAGTTGAGCAGTGCCTTGAAGGCAGCCGTGCAAGCTGGTGTTGCTGAGGTTATTGAAGCTGAAGTAGGGCCTTGTCAGGCAAGGTGTGGTCCAGAGGTACAGAGAAGCGTGGCGCTCTAGGGAATAACAGGTGGATGGTTTAGAGAATAGGTGCAGGTATAGGGTCCAAGTGGGGAGGAAATTATGGCAGAAGGTGAGGCCAAAAGCACAAGAATGGAGTTGTGAATAGGTCTGTGTGTCATGCAGAGAGGTTTCGATCTAACAAGCATAAGAGGCCGGTGACCCAGTCAGCCAGGTACCTGTGGAGGCAGAGGCTAAGACAGGGAGGCCTTCGGGAAGTACTCTTCCTGTCTTTATCCCAAACATCGCCTGCCTTTCATGAGTAATTTTCTGAGAAGTTAGTGCTGTTTAACTCCAAACTGGATTTTTTAAAGATGATTTGTGGAGACTGGTCTTTAGGTGAATCTCTAGAATTTCCATTAGTTAAAATTTGAGATTTGGTCAGACTTGAAAATAAATCTATCCAATGTTTATATTTTTTAAATCCTTATTTAGTATCTGTAACAATGTCATTATTACAGAACCTCATTTAAACAGAGGAGTCAAGCGATTCTGTCTGGTTAATGGAAGTGTTATGCCAGGGCCCTGCGCACCTCAGCACTCTGCCAGCTCCAAGGAAGGAGCATGGTGTGAGCAGGAGGAGGTGAACTGAAGTCAGACCGGCCTGGACTAAGTCTCCACTCTGCTACCTACTGTGAGGCTTCGGCAGATCATTTAGCCTCAGTCTCCTGTCAGTAGAATAGGGCAGTAGTCCTTCCTTCTTACCCCATGGAGCAGCCATGGGCTTGAGGGGCAGCTGAAGGAGGGCCTCATAATAATCACCTAAGTGATATGTGCACTACTAAGGGGGGGCAGTTGAAACCTACAGATGAAACTTGGGGTTTACGTTAACTGTGGGCCTTGCTTCCCTGAACTCTGCCTTTTTTCATTACTCAGAATGGTCAGGATCAGGCTTCCAAGGGGAGCTCTGGGGAAGAAGATCTCTGGCTCCAGCCTCTGCTCCCATGGGCAAACTGTGCCCCCTTCTGCTCAGAGGGAGGGTGAATGTGTTTGAAATTGGATGGCCACGAGACCCTCCGCTAAGTCCCTATTAATGTGCATGGGAGCTCCGGAGGGGCCCTCCCAGCAGCCAGAACAGTGGAGAGGAGGGTTTAGAATGGATGAGTGAACAGAGTATTGCCCCTGGGGGAAAATGAAAACAGAAACAAGCAGGGAGCCAGCCTGACGTAGAGGACCCCAGGGCTTCAGAGCCCACGTGGTTTCTAACTGTTACAGTCCTAGAACTCCCTGGCCAGAAACCTCTTCTCAGCCAAGATGCGGGCCTTCCATCCGTCAGGCAGAGGAAGAGGCAGAGCGGAGCCTCTCGGGAGGGTCATCACCTTGGTTGACCATTCATCCATCTGTCCATCTAATAAACATTTATCGAGGCCTCCTGTCCCTGTCCCTTTGCTGAGGGTACAGACTTCAATCCAGCAGAGCCCCTGGCCCCAGAAGCTTGGCACAGGATGGGGGCGGCCCTGCAGAAGGAGGTGGCAGTGCTGGGTTGCACCTCAGGGAGAGGCAGGGGAGAGGGGTCAGATGCAGTTAAGAGCAATAGCAAAATCCAGCTCTCCGGACATTCTAGCAGGAAAAGGACCTAATCAATATTGGGTATATGTGTGCGTCGATACTGTGTGAGCATTTTCACATCAGTCACAGCAACCCTGTAAAGTATGGGTGTTATTATCACCTTTCCACAGGTGAGGAAACTGAGGCTCAGAGAAGTTAAGGTCTATTTTTATGGTGTCCTTGCTGCAAGAGAAATGGTCCAGGCCCAGGCTTCGGGGAGCTCTGTTGAATGGGCAGGTTGGGTAGCTTTCAAGGGGTCGTGTTATCCCTTGGTAGGGTGCCGAATGGGAAGGAGGTCTCCCCTGTAGTCTTCTCTCGGTCCTTCTCCTTCACTCTTGCCACACCAGAAAGGTACAGTTAATGCTGGCCAGCCTCTCAGAGGACCATAGCATTTAGATCATAAACTCCTAGGTGCCAGAGTCTCTAACTATCAGGTCCCGCAACAAGGATCCCAACCCTGAAGGGATCACATGCACTCCATCACTTGCACTTGAAAAGCAGAAACAGAGGCCTGAGAGAATAATTCTCTACTTAAGTTTCTGTAGTGGGAGAGCTGAGACTGCAAACCAGCTCGGTCCATTCTGGACTCGATGTGCTTTCTCTGCATGGCACTGCCTCAGTGTCATGGACAGACCCCGCAATGACAAACTTTAGAAACCAGAGCTCTCTGAGGTGGCCTCACTCTCCCATTCAGTCCTCTCTCAGAGCTGCATTCATCTCACATGCAGACCAGAGTGAGACGAGAAGCCTTCATCTGTTGTACTCATTCAGAAGTGTGACCTAGATGTCACAGTGAGTGGAACTATCACCAGCCAGGTGTAGGTTGACTGACCTATCCTTCCTACTTCCATTCTCCTGGCCCCAACAGATTACTAGGCTGCGGAGCGAACTGGACATTGTTCGAGGAAACACAAAAGTCATGTCTGAGATGTTAACGGAAATGGTCCCTGGGCAGGAGGATTCGTCTGATCTGGAGTTGCTACAGGTGAGGGGACCTCATCTTTTCGGTGCTCCGGGCCTGAGGATACAGCAGTGAAGGAGAGACTGAGTCCATGTAGGCCCACACTCAGCCTCACACTTCCTAGGAATGGTCAGAGGTCGATACCAGGCTTTCTCTTTTTTATTTTTCTTAATAACATTTTTTTCCTGATTATAAAATACCAGTTGCAGAATACGTGCCATGGAAAGAAAATGGAAGTACAAAGAAGAAAATGATTCTTTAATGCCAGCATCCACAAGTAACCACTGTTGTTCTGATATGTTTTCTTTCAGACTTTACTATGTTTATTTCCAATGTAGTTGAGATGATATTATTTGTACGATTTTGTGTATCACTTTGCTCCCTCAACATTACGTCACAAACATTTGCAACAGGACCTTCAACCTTTCCTGCACATAGGAGCCTGTCTAGTCACATCTTACCCACCCCGCCCACCCCCCTGACATTCCTGAGACTGAGATGAAGATGAAGATGAATCTCCTTTCCTTTTCCTGAACACTAAGGATTCCCAGGCTGAGGTTGCTCACTGGGCTGTCTACCTCTGGGCTCCCTGCAGATCTGGGATCATGGCAGAAAGGGGTCCAGGAGCAGGGCTGACCTGTGGGGACGCCCCCAGACTTTTGCAGGAGATCTTGCCTCAGGCCTGTTTCCCAGGCCAGCCAGGCCCAGAGCTAGAAACCAGATCTCTACCATACCCATCTCAGATGACTGTGGAATTTGTAGAAAAAGGCAGCGACACTGCCCTTAGAAGCAGTGACCCTGAAGGAGTGGAGAAAGGGTACTGTAAACTGCAAGTGGCAGGGTTCTTGAGTAGACAGGCCAGGAGCCAGACTGGCCTGGCTAACTGGCCTGAGTGCTTCATGACGTACCTGCTGCTGCTATTCTTGTTTGGCATTGTCATCAGTCTTGGTCCCCTAAGTGCTACACCTCCCACCCTGCTGTTGGCACACACTTGCAGCCTGCGAAAGCTCAGCTCTGATGGCTCTGTCCTTCAGTAATGCACACAGCCAGAGTGGCTGCACCTGGTCCCAAGCCGTTTCTTATCGTGCCCCCCTCATCCTCGAAAGCCATCATTAGCTCCTGGGGGAGAGGATAGATGGAGGCCTGTTTTGGGCCTAACGCAGAGCAAAGCCCTAGAAGCACAGAGATGCATGGGCCGAGATCCCTGTTCTGGAAGAGCTTACAGCCTAGTGCAGGAGACAGAAGAACAGCTCATCTCCATGAAACCATGATATCAGGCTGCTTTTGAAGCCAAGATGAGTACTCTCTGCCAGCCTGAGCGAGGAGCCCTGAGTGGCTCCTCCCTAGTTTCCAGACTCTGATACCTGCAGCAGACCTGGCTTACCTCAGTTGAGCAGATCCAGCTGTCCACATGCCACACTCTATGGGACCCAGCATCTCATTAATACATCACTGGCCTCCATTCCCAGCCTGCAGTCAGGAATTCTTCACGGCAGTACTGAAGGCACCGGAATCCGAGGTCAGTCCAGAAACAGTCCAGAAACTGAGAGGGCCTCTTGAGGCAGCTTGGTGCTGTGTCAGCATCAGAATTCC